TATACCTTTTTGTTCTGTTTTATTTTATGACTTAAGTTTAAATTTGGTAAGGGAGAGAGAAATAGTGATAGATTTAATGAGAAACATCTTCATTTACTTTAAATAAATTAAATAAAAAATTATTTTTTATTTTTTTTTGGAAGGCAAGCCAGGCACTAGGGGTTTATAGGGTTGTTAACGATTTGATTTCGAGACGGAATTAGCTCGAATGGATTGAGTGTGGCTTGAAATCAGTTCGTGACTGGTTATATTCTATTTTGATCCAGCTTGGCTTGAATTTGGATTGAGCTCGATTGGACTTGAAATTGAATCGAGTTGGCTCACATTGAGTTATTTGGATCCATTTCCGTTCAAAATTGAAAATTGTTGGCTCAAATTGATTTATTTGGATCCGTTCCAGCTTGAAATCGGCTCGCATTATACGCTCAAAAATGTTGTATACAATTTTACTTAGCATTCATATAAGAGCTGAAATAGGCTTGAAAAAAATTTGATCCAAATTATTGGTTAATAGCCCAGCTCGTTTATTTCGATCGAAGCCAAAATTTGAATCAATTTTCGAATGATTAACAATCTATGAGCTAAATTCACACACGAGGGGTTAGTGAGAATAGGACGAATCGAACTCGTGTCTCCGAATGATAGATGAGACGCCCAGCCTTAGGACTGCAATTTCATTCACTTATATATGTATGCATGTATGCACAGATGTGTGTATTGAATTATCTGAATCATCTCACAATAAAAGATATTATTTCTCATCACTAATAACAACAATATAAAAATCACAAATAATTACAACATTCATCCCTCACCATATCTATATTTTTAACAATTCCACCCCTCTTATTCAATTGAATTTGTTAAAATCTAATTAAAATCCTTTTCAAACCTATTATTTGCATTTCCAACCCTTTCGTTCAAAATCCTCCCGCTCTTCCCCTCCAAACCTCTTATTTTCTTCTCTTTTGATTTTTTCTTACTTTTTGTTTTTCTTAGTATCATTTTCAATCATTTCTTTTTTCTTTTGTAAGTGGGGATTACTATATCTGGATCAATATTTATGTATGTATGTATCTACCTATCTCTCTCTCTCTCTCTCTCTCTCTCTCTATATATTAGATTTTACTAAAATTGTAGTCCTAATGTTCTCATTTCATATGATATGATTAACGGAAACGTATGTTTTTAAAATGATCGTGAAGTATTGTGAGATTCACACATATAATTTATCTTACATTTAAAATTATAATGGGGCATTTACATGCATATCACATAATTCTTTTGTATTTACATATCTAGCATCTAGATTTTAATTTTTATATTTATAAGGCTCAAATATTTCATATCACACTAAAAATATTAATATTTTAATTTTAAAAAGAAAAATATATCTTTTCATGCATGTATAAGATGATATACATCAGATACATTTCTGCACGAATCTCAAGAGAATCCAAAAGACAATAAAAATAATTACAACTCTAAAAAACACATACGGAAGACCATGTGCGTCGAGCGGAAGACCAAAGATTCATCAACAAAAAACTTAGAGTCTGGTAATAGAAGGCTAAGTGTTTACTAGTGAAATACTGAAAGAAATATCTGACCAGATGCAACCCCCATAGGTTGGGGATGAAGGCCGCCCGAACCAAAGACTAAAGCCCATCTAGCTAATCAGAGACATCGAACTGCTTGTCATCATATTTGAATTTAATGAAAGGATGCAACATCCTTAAATATACGAAGGACACCCTTGAGATTTCTTAGTATGAGCCGACAACTAGCTATTACATAATCACATGGAGCATCCCTGACTACTTGTTAGAATGTGCAAATTCACCCTCTGCCCGAAGCCTTGTTTTGTCAAGAAGAGTTCCTTATGTAGGGATTAATAGTTAGTAACCAGACTAGCACAGCAGACTCGCAAAATGAAGTCGATCGAATGAAATCTTTCCAACTTGGAAACAATCAAATGCCGACAAGTAACCCGATTCAACGACGCCAGATGAGTAAATCTTGCCGAACCAAAACCAACTAATTCCAGAAAATCGAGTCATAGGTAGTTGAATCGAAGGTTTATACTTGTAAAATACTCAAAATATCATATAACGCCCCTATTAAAGTAGGAGTAAATACTTAATTTCATATATTGCATCATTTCTTCTATAAATAAAGGGATCATTTTCCAAAATTTCCGAACCAAAACCAACTACTTTCAGAAACATTCGGATTCAATAATATATATTGAAATTTAGATGTTGGATATGTAAATACATGACAATTGAGTGCATGCATCTAAATCTTTCATTACAATTTAGTACTAATTAAGAAAATTATAATATAAAATTAAATGACAACTTTCCTTTTGCAGAATCACTTTACCCACCGCTCGAAGCTGTGCTTTTAATGACCGCCGCTGCTATTTGTCGTTTCAGCACGAGAAACTGTATTTATTAAAAAAATAAAAAATAATAAAAAATTATATTATTTACTAATTCATTTAAATTTACTTTAAATTATCCGGACAATATTACGCCTAGTTTACTATACGTACGGTTGATAATGCGGATCACAATACGACGCTTGTTGGCTATGATCGATGACAGGGAGCGATTGGCAGCAAGCGGCAGCCCGCATGAGCGATGGACGACAGTAACAACCGTGGTGGCTATCAATAGCGGGTGGCTCTGACGGTGGCGGTCAATTCTAGGTGGCTGCATTTACTTACAATATATTTGAAAATCACTCAAATGTAACGAACTTGGAATGAACTTTTTTTTGAACCGCATGATAAACTTCAATTTGCTAAAATTTTGCATTGCATTCTACTTTACGACCAAGCAAATGTTGAAATTTTAAAAATTCCTACATTTGATTTATTTTATACTAAAATTGATCCAACCAAACAACCCCTACAAACATTATTTGGTTGCATAGAAAGTAAATGAAATTAAGTATTTTAAATTATCTTATCTTTTATTTTTATGCAATATGTTCATTAATCATTTAAAACCAAGTGAGATTGAATAACATCTAATTTGTTCAAGAGAATCTATAATTTTTAAAAAAATATAGAAAAGAGAAAATAACTATGTAACGACGACTCGCTAAAAATGTGTTGTCTCATGTCGTATATTTATCAGTATCGATACTTTTCTGACACACAAACACTCATTCAATATTACAAAATATCTGTCTAAATTTTTTTCAAACTCGAACATGTCCAGAACACACTTCAACACCATATCAGACGTGAGTTTAACACGATTTAAAGAAAATCGGACATAATAATTAGAAAATTATAAATATATGTATAGTCTTAATTATACCTCATAGAGGAAACCGCCCCATCATTCGTCATGTTGAAGTTTCCTCTAACATTCATCAATATCGAGCATCGAAGATACATTCAATATTTGTCGAAACCCAACATTTTTAATTCCCTCTTTATAATCATAAGATTTCTTAAACTTTAGTATAAAAGTTGAATTATAAGTTAGAATAATTTTCTTGGAACATATTATATCTAATTTTAAAAATAAATTGTCATAACACGAGATTTTCATATTATATCTAATTGTGTTGTGATATTTTTAATAAAAAATAATGGAAAAATATATATTTCATATTAATAATTAATTAATTATGAGAAAAATTTTCTTTGAAATTATGAGGGGTATTATAAAATTTCAATTATTTTACTTTTGGCCATTTACATACATACCACCTAATTCTTACGTATTTAAATATCTAGCATCAAACCTTTATTTTTTTTTACGTGAATGCTCCTTAAAATCTTTCTTTTCATGAAATGCATCATTTTACGCATAGGTAATGTGGTATGCAGGTAAAAATTAAACTTTAAGTGTTAGATGTGTAAATATATTTGAATTAAATGTTATGTATGTAAATCACCCCCTTTCTTTTCACTTAACTTAATACTTATTATGAATTGAAATTATTCAAATTCAGAACTAAATATCAACATAAACATACATTTGCTCTTAAATTGATGTAAATGACAGCTAGGTGTCACAGATAAAAAGTCTCACATCGGATAGGTGTAGGCCCAAATAACAGTATTTAAGTCTTGTGCTGCCCACCACCCCTAAGAGCTCTTTTGAGAGGTGATAAGTGGTATCAGAGCAGATTACTGTCTGCCAGGTGTGTGGACTCTCCATGGTCCAGTGGGACCCTCAGAGGAGTCGATCTGTGACGAGGGCGTCACGTGATTGGGTGGAGGAGAATGTCACGGACAAAAAAGTCTCACATCGGCTAGGTGTATAGCCGAAGAGCAGTATTTAAGTCATGGGCTACCCACCACCCCGAAGAGCTCTTTTGGGAGGTGACATAGGGCTGTGAATTTAATTTAAAATTTGTCGAAAATTAATTCAAATTTTGGTTCAGATCAACATCGGATCGCAAAAAATCAGTAAAAACTAGATCGAATTATTTTGAGTCAATTTTTAGTTATACATGAATTGTCTCGTAGTATTTTTTATTTATAAAAATAATATACATAATAATTAGTAAAATTGATTATAACCAGTCATGAATTATAACTTCAAGAAAATTATTTCAGTTTCGAGCCAATTCAAGCAAATTCCTGGGTTGAAACGGATCCAAATAAGTCAATTTGAGCAAGCTCGTTTCGATTTCTAGCCGGATCGAGCTCTATTAAATTTCAAACCGACTTACCACAAGCCAATCTCGAGCCGCACTAAATCTTCTGGAGCCTATTTCGGTTCGTTAACAGCCCTATGAGCTTTATAATTTGCAATTAACAAATCTAAAAGTCATAACTCATTCCTTTCCTGCTTCAGCAACCAATCAATGCATCTCACACCTCCCCAACTGTTAAATTTCGCTTTGTTATTGAAATTTTTAATGCCTGCCTTCATTCACAGGTCTCCATCCCAACTGTAATCCTTTTTTCTTCTATATAACCACACAGAATTCCTTCATTCCGAATCACTGAGACTAAGTACTTAGAAGCCATGGATACCTACAGCAAATGGCTAACTATCCTTCTCCTGATCTTCGGTGTTGTCCACCATTTCGGCACCGCCGCGTTAGCCCGCCACCTCCATGAGAGGTTTGGCGGTGCCGGCGGGGGTTTTGGTGCCGGATTTGGTGGAGGAATTGGAGGAGGTGGAGGTTTCGGAGGCGGTGGTGGTCAAGGTGGCGGCTTTGGGATTGGTGGTGGTGGTGGCGGCGGATCCGGTGGTGGTTTTGGTGGCGGAAGCGGTGGAGGAGTTGGTGGAGGGTTTGGAGAGGGAGGGGGAGGAGGAGGAGGAGGGGGGGTTGGAGGGGGGGGTGGGGGGGGGGGGATTGGGAGGGGTGTGCTAATCGGAAGGGTTGGAAATGCCAATAATAGGTTTGATGAGGATTTTAATCGGTTTTTTAACAAATTCATTGAATAAGAGGGTGGAATTGTTAAAAATAAAGATATGGTGATGGATGAATGTTGTAATTATTTGTAATTTTTATATTGTTGTTATTAGTGATGAGAAAGAATGGCTTTTATTTGATGAAATGACTCTGATAATTCAATACACATATACATACATACATATTAATTGCATAACTAACATTTTATCGATTAACAATCCCTAAGCCAGGGGAAAGGGAAAACAACATGAAGGCATTCAATAAACTACACAATTTGGGTAGGTGTCTGATGACCTACCCCATTCTTATAGGTCTGTAGTGTAGAATCAATTGGACCAGGATATCCATCGACATCTCCTAGCCATTCCGCCTTAAGTAATTAGTCCACTCTAACTTAAGAATGACGTTACGATGATTTACATCCACGTCTCTCAATTTCTATGTATTTACATATCTACCCCTAAATTTCCATGTTTGAAAGTATTTGGTTCACTTTTTAAAAATTATATTTAATATCTTCAACATCTTCAATACTAACATCAAAATTAAAACAAAAATCTTCAATATGAAATAAAATAATGGGGTGATATAAATATAAAAAATAAATTTTAAATTTTCGATACATAAATATATAAAAATTGGTTAGCATGCATGTTAATGCCCCCTAAACGTGAAGTTTATGCATACACTACACAATTCATTTGTCTTTATATATATTTAACACTGGATTATAAAAATATGTACGTATTTCACTTTAAAAAAAATTCAAATTAGTAATGTATTTGATGTGACTAAATTTAAGTGATACGCATATATCAAAATTTAGGTTTTATATATATATATATATATATATAGTATTATTATTGCCGGCAGTTTCAAAGAAGATAAAAGTCCATCCACCTCACAATGACTTCTAATATTTGAGCTTATCCTGAAACTATTTTATAAATATTTTTACAGATACATGCAACCCTCTCAAACAAGAGAAAAATTTGCGTAAACACGACATTTGCATAGCTGCATTCATAAGAGGTTATTTAGAGAGTATTAGTACATTATATCTACATTATACCCCCCTTATAACATCTTTGTAACCTACCTATAACCCTCTAATACCCTCTAAATAAATTCCAATGTAGCTCTGCAAACGTCTTACGTATGCAAATTTTTCTCCTCAAACAAACTCCAAAATATGTATGAAAACCTCTTTAAATATACCTAAAATAATTTTTTTATTAATTTTAATTCTTTTTAATGATAATCACAAACATTTTAAAAACAAATCTTCTAGCATATGATAATCCATAAAATACAACTTGTTTGACTCGAATGCTAAGAATAGACTCAAAATACCAACAATTTTACATTTTTACATAACATGAATTTTTACATATATACCATCTCAATCTATGAAAGAAAAGATTAATTTCACATTTTAAAACTTATAATAGTAAAATTTTAGATGAATATAAAAATCAAATATTGTCTTAGAAAAAATCAATAATAAAAAACTAAACACCAAATCATCTATACAACAAGTGTGGAGAGTGTATTATATAAACCACAAAGGTGATAAATAATAAGCCTTAGAAAAGCATAAATATAAGTATTTTCTGGGACTGTGTTGAACAACTAAAGACATTATTACACATTCAGAATTAAACCACAAAGCATGTAAATATTGCAGGGATTCATAGCTGGGAAAGAAGATGACGAAAAGAAGAGGAGAAGATAAGAGGGAATGTACACATTATTTAGTGGTCTCATATATAGGAGGAAATATTCCGTGCGCAACCGACAAGTTGATTTGATGGTATTGTGAAGATGTTCACCACAAATATTATCAAATCCGCACCTATCTTATGAGCACGTAATATTTTTTTCCATATACAAAAGACCTCATGATGCCTTAGAACGCAGAACCGAAGGTGTTTTCGCCACTGTAAGTCATGTAGAGGAAGCCATCTTCATCTTTGTTCTCTTCATATATTGCAGACATCATAGCAGCTACAGTAACAAAATCAAATTTATACTTTTAAAAAAGTAAGAATAATAAAGGGAAATTTACAAAAATAACCCACATTTTTCAAGTATTTACCTATATAACACCTAAACATTCATACTTACATGTACGTCACTCGATCTTTAAAAGTGAGATACAAAATTTTCAAGCATAAGTTTATGACACCAAGGTGTTATAAGTATAAATATAAAACATTGGAGGTTAGATATGTAAATTTAACTTAAAAAAATGATGAATAAAACTAAGAAAAAATGTTGCATAGAGTCTTCTGACCTGTAGGGGGAAGGGTGTTCTTCACAAAGATGAAGATTGCCTTTTCAGCACTTAGCTTAATCCTCTTCCGAACAACATATACAAACTGTCCCACCGTAAGATCAGCAGAATACCTAATCATCAAAATCAAAGTTAAAAACTAAAAAGCATGATTTAGGTAGTATGAATTTTGCATAAAAAATATGATGATGTTAAATATAAAAAATTAGCAAATTTAATCATTACCAATAATCTCAAGTTTAAAACTTCATCAAAGATAATTTTTTGAATACAGACTACAGAAGAAGAGATTCAAGTAAATAAATAAAGGGGTGTTGACATATACTTATATATCTAACACCTAAACTTTACTTCTTATATTTATACCGCCCAAATCTTTCATATCACGTAAAAAAGACCACTATTTTAACTTTTAAACAGTGAAATACACATTTTCATGAATTGCTTGAGGTGTTGGATATGTAAAAACAAAAGAATTGAGCTGTACGCATGTAAATCTTCCATAAAGAAGTTAATTAAATTCCCAGAATATAAAAGGTGTATAGTTTACTGACTTCTTCTTGTCAATGTCTGGAATATCACTTCTCTCAGCCTTCTCAACAATCACCTTCATTGAAAAAAAAAAAGAAGAATAAGCACAATAATTACAGCATAAAATGCCAAATCAAATGTAGATTATAAAAAAAGCAGCTCATTACAGGAATTCTATCTGGATATTTCTCCCTAATGCGAGCTGCTTCAGCTTGTCTCCTCTCTGAAATTCAACATAAAAAGTAAGTTGAAATTTTTACAATAAATTTTAGCAAATAGCAATGTAAAGTACATTATAACTTCTTACTGACATAAATACCCCATCCAATTCATATGTATTTATATATCTAACACCAAAACTTTACATTTTACATTTCTACCTCCCAAATCTTAATGTTTATAAAGTGAAATACACTTTTCCATGCATAGGTAAGGCGGCATATATGTAAATTTAGCTGAAAATAACATCACCACAAAATCAAACCAAGCACATAGATGATAGAGGTTTCACTAAAGTAAAAACAAATATACGCACTTTTTCCTTGTAATGGATGTAAGATGCCATACCTAAAGATAGAAGATTTTCTTAAGTTATTCATCGTCCACTCCATTGTTATAAGGCAAAAACTCATAATTTCAGAGAAAATTATACTCAATACATATAAAAAAAGGGCATCCACGTCGAGAACAAGGAAGAATTACTTTTTAGAACCCTCAAGTTTCAAAGATATCTTAACGTGTAAAATTTTCCTACTTTCCCAAAGTTTCACACCCTGCCGCAAATTCAAAATAACAAGAAAGACTTACACACACAACACTCAATTGTCATTTGCATATCTAACGCCTAAACATCAATTTTTCCATATTGTGCATCAAAAATTGTATTTCAGTTTTTAAAAACTAAAATGGTGGTATTTTTTTTAAGTCATATGAAAGATGTCAGGCTTGTAAATGTAAAAAAGTGAAGTTTATATGTTAAGATATGTAAAAACAGAGGAATTGGGTGGCGTGCATGTAAAAGCCACATATTTGCCCCTTAAAATCAAACCAGGCACATAGATGATAGAGGTTCTATGGGCTCTTCTTCCTTATAATATTCCGAAGATACCATACTTCATAGTAATAGATTTTCTCGCATCCCATATGAGAACTTACAAAGGAAATCATACTCAAACACAAGCAGAAAAAAAGCATCTGCATCAAAAACCAGCAAGGCTTCTAATTTCTAGACAACCTGTAAGTTACCACGATATCCTCACCTGTGAAATTTTCCTATTTTCACAATCTCTCCGTTCAATAAAAATAAAACCAAGCACACAGATCATAGAAGTGACACTCAACCTTCTAGATCAAAATCCAATATGAAATTTAATCAGCAAAGAAAATAAACCCTAGCTTCAAATCAGACAGCTTTTCAAGGCAAAACGGAGACAGAAATAAAAGGAGGAAAGCAAACCAAGAGGGTGCTCCAACTTGAACGAGTTCTTCGCCATGGATTTCTACGTTTGGCTGCAAAATAAGATCATCTTTTCATCTCAAAGAATCAAAAAGAGAAAAATTAAACATGCCAAGATCGATCGATTGATCCGAAAGGATTTGAAAAGGATAAAGAACGTACAGCAAGAGAAGGGAACGATTGCTGAGAGGAGGCTAAGGCTGCTTGACCGTCACCGGGAAAATACCTTGTGAATGGGATGGAGGAGGAATTAGGGCTTTTTTATTGCTCCACGAAAGGAAGAGTGCGGAACCGTGCAAGAAAGCGAGACTACCGCCGTCAATTAACGGAGCTAGCAGTCATCGGGGACTCCAATTGGTTAACATTATGAAATATATCTTTCTGTATTATTTTAAATAGGGTCTAAGCCAATTCTCTGCGCGTTTAACTTATTTGTATTAATACATATCCTCTTACTTGTGTTTGCGTTTGACTTCGTGTTTGTGTTCGTGTTCGTGTTCGTGTTAGCTCGTAAAAGTTTGTTAGTATTCAGCCAAATGTGAGCTGATTGAAAAATTCTTGTCGTTTATTTGTTTGATTTTGACTCGAACTGGCTCGAGCTCGGCTCCTGAGCCAGAACCCATTAAGGTCATGCGAGCAACACAGACTATTTTGCTGGTATCTACCTACATACCAATCAATTCTTATGCATTTACATACTCAACATCTAGATAAATACAAAAAGTGTTGCTTTGCATATAGAGCACCCGAAATATTGATATTTATAAATAGAATTTCATGAAAATGAAAAATGTACAGGGTCCATGAATTTTGTTATTTGAGGGAGAATTTAAAAAATAGGTGAAAGGGAGTGGTTGATTTGTAAATAGCAAGTTTCGGGGTGATCTGTATGTAACAATCCAATTTTTTTAGACATTTACACAGTCAAGTCATATATATTTACATATATAGCACCTAAACTTTAATTTTTAACATTTATACCAACTAAATCTCTTCTATGCATTTTTGTTAAATAATATAAAGTTTTAATATAAAATTAATATAATAAATATTATTATTTAATTATTTTGAGTCAAAACAAATCGAACATGTTTGTTCGTGTTCAACTCGTTTATAAATCAAGTTCGAAAAATTTTTAGTGTTTGACTCACTTGTTTATCAAACAATTCGAGCACGATATCACGGACTAACTTTCCTCAAGTCACCCGTGCGGCTTTAGCGCTCTTTCTTAGCACTAAATCAATCTTATCACTCCCAACACTGGACTTATGAGCCCCAAGCACTCTTAAGAAGAATAATACAAAGAAAGGAATATAATTAGCACTTGAATACTAGAATGTTTTGATTCAATGCTTGGGTAATTACAAATGAGGGGAGGAGCTCCTATTTATAGCCTCCTCCATCTCTTTGGTCTTTCATCTAACCAATGTGGGATTATTCCAAGTCTAAGAGAAGTTTCTAGATTACAATATAATATTCTATCTCTTAAACTATTCTTATGTACATACATAACTCTAGAACATTCTAGTTATTTTTAGATTCTCTTTAGAGCTTTTCCTTCTTGCTCTCTCCTGAATGTGGCAGAATCTTCTAGAGCCCCTTTGATGACTTTATATCCTGACCTTCTCTAGAATCTTCCATCCTGTGTTCGTCTTGACGATTTCTCGAATATAGCGGAGCGTGACAACGAGCAACTTAATGCGTAAAAAATGAGTTGTTCGCGATTGTTCGCGAATAACGAATTGTTTTTTACAGCGCTATGAAAATGTTTATGACTCATTTATTTTTTCGAACAAATTGCGCGTATAAAACTCGAGTAAGGCTCAGTTAGAGTTCAATTAAGATTTGATTATGACTCTTTTATTTTCTTAAATAAGTTATTGATTAATATGCTCGATAAACCTTATATAAACTAAGCTCAAATTGTGTATTTATAAGCGGGCTGGAATATATTCTTAAAAGCTCAAATTGAGCTAGAGCTTAGCTCAAACAAGTTTTTAATAGACTAGCTCTTGCTCAAATATAATTTTAAAACTCAAATTTAGAGCTCATACTAATAATAAATGAGCTCGGTCGGGTCGATTCGTTCGCAGCTCTATCAACTTACGTACACGCATGGCTCGTCATAGATTTTCAATAGTCCTCATAAATGGCAATTTATTTTTATTCAGTGTTTTTGCATTAGGGTTATATCCGTGAAAGCGTCGGAGTAGCTCCGGTGGCAGACAAGATTAGAGAGATCGTCCTTATCTTTTAAATTAGACTTTTGTTAAGCTAGGTAAGGGTATACCTAAAAAAATGTGGGTATATTGTATCTTGATTTATTATAATTAAATGAGAATATGACACTCAATAGTAGGGCTGTCAAAACAGCTCGTTGTTCGTGAATAGCTCGTGTTCGACTCGTTAAGAAACTCGTGTTCAACTCGTTCGCTAGGTTAACGAACCGAACACGAATAACACGAACAAATGTTTGTTCGGTTCGTTTTGGCTCGAAATATTACTGATCAATTATATATATATCTTTGATGAGTAATATTTTTTAAAAATTTAATTAACTACAAGGCTACAAAAATTTATAATCAATTAAAATTATTAATGAAGAAAAAAGAATAAAAATTATTAAATTAAATTCAAATGATGTTTTAAATCTTGTCTCAATCCTTAATTTCTTATGGCTACGTGATTAGGATTGTCAAAATGACTCTTTGTTCGTAAACGGCTCGTGTTCCGCCCCTTAAGCAAACGAGACAAACACCAACACACTTTTTGAGCTCGAAATATAAACGAGCCTAACAAGCTCTTGCTCGTGTTCGGCTCGTTTACACACCTACTCTTATGAATCTGACCCCATTTAGTGAGATAAAAGGCTTTTGATTTGGTGGTGGTTGTTATTTTAGCACAAGGGAACTTATTAAAAATTAGATATTTTCTCTCATGCATTTAATATTAATTTTCATGTTTTTTTCTTAGCGAGCATTTTGAATTAAAATAATTGTCGTTGAATGATAAATCGATAATGGAGAAATAATGCTGCGGGAATATATTTGGAAACTTCCCACCGGATGCGGACACAATCATTCACAAATCATGCGCTCATTTAGAAATAGAAAGAAGGTATAATAATGTTTGATATAATTACTTGCCTCAATTAATATAATTATTATATGAGAATCTTATACAACTAGCATTAGGGAGACATTGGTCCAGAGAATCTTATATATCTCGAAACACTATCCAATGATATGAATCTCGAGACAGCCTTTTAAGCAAGAAACGTTTAAATTTCGATTAAAAACCTTCCAGAGTCTCGGAGCACTGATTTCAGGAAACTTACGGTCAAACTGACCGGCTAACGAGACAGACCCAATGGTAGCAAAATTAATCAAATCCGAGTCAATTCTGACCCTGATGAAGCTAATAAACCGCTTTTATAAACTTTTCAAACATATTTGAAAGGTAAAATAGACTGAATCTTATAAATTTATTGTTAAATTGAGTATCTCAGAAAGAGAATACAAAGAGCCCATGTTCGCTCAATTTCGACAACTATAAGACACTCAAATGCCCATCAAAAGCTTTCTGATTTAGATAATTTCTCTGGGCCGATCGATCAAAGTGGTTCATATTTTTTTATTAACTGCAATTGAGACTCAATTAATAGAGCTATGTTCCCCTCTTGAAGGGAGAGGGAGCTTGAAGCTTGAAGCTTGAAGCTTGAAGCTTGAAGCTTGAAGTTTGAAAAAGACTGAAGCTTAAAGAAGGAGTTGAAGTCCAGCATCACTCCGACGCCAAAGATTCATCGACCATCATTCGCTAACAGCCACCGATCACCACTCGTCGGCTACCGCCGATCACCATCGGCCACCACTCATTTCTTACGACAAGTTCATCCGCACATCGACATTGTAACTCAAGAGACAGTGTAACTCTTTCTCGCCTGTGGTATAACGAGTTATAATTGTAATCAAGAATTTATAATTGATCTATTCAGCTGGGTTAGGCTCTGTAGTTTGTTTTTTTTTATTTTCCAGTTTTTACACGAAAAAGCTTAGTGTCATTACAGGTTTTTTTTTTTAATTTGAATATGTGTTGAATCTTCGTACAACTCTAAGACAATAATTTGTTACTCTATCAGTGTAAATTTTCTCCCATGGGCGGGAAAGATTTACACAATCTCTCGAGTTACACCATCGATGTGTGCATGAATTTGTCGCGCCATGGTATGAATGATCACAATGGGGAGTAATAATCAGGGCTTCAAAGCACTGTCTTCAGGGTCGGCACAACGTTCCAGATGATGTGTTGCTTCGTAGGTTGTTTTGTATTGTGTTTGGTCATAAAAAGTGAGTGGCAGCAAATGACGATCAACGGCAGCCGACGAGTGATGATCGTCAGTGGTTAGCGGTGATCCGCTATTGGCAGTTGATATATCATCAGTGCAGAAGTGATGTTGGACCTTAATTGCTACTCAAATGTTTAGTCATCTTTAGGCTACAACATCCAAATCCCCTCTCAAGTGGGGAGTAGGTTCTATTTGTAGATTTCTTGTTGTAATTACTGAAGGAATAAGAACAACCCTATTCTGACGCGCCGAATAAATTCTCTCGATTGAACAACATTTAATGAACAATTGAGTTGTCCCCACATTGTTTTAACAACAATACCCAATAAGCCGCACATACAGAAAATAGCATGGAAAAAAGTACCACTGAGCATATACCATACATCCAACCATTAAAAAGTCATGTCGTAGATAGATGAAAATCATGTGTCATCATCACCGCCATTGATTGACCATTACCTATATAAGAATTGAAGGGATTTTAAATACCCACCACTTAAAACTTCTCATATTAAATGCTGTATGGGTAGGCCACTAGAGTCCATAAAAGGGAGATTTGATTGGGGTTAAAATAGGAAATTCTTTATTAATATATTTCTTTCATATTCTATGTTTTTTTTTTTTTTTTTCAAAAATATGCTTTAGGTTAGATGGTAAGTTTGTAAATAAGAAAAAAATAATTTCCTTACATACGTATCCTACTTGTGAATAATAAAATTAACTCTCTTTTCATCCCAAAAACTGTTTTCAACAATATATCAAGGATCTGAATCTAAATTAGAGGGCCAACAGCAGAAAAAATCAGGCTGCAGGTAGAAGTCCAAGTGGTCAGGAATCCATGGTGGTATCAACCTTCCTTTACCAGAATTCCTGCCTATGGCAGCCACAGCAGTAGCATCTACCCCTCATTTGCCTGGATTCCTGCCTACAGTAGCCGCAGCTGTAGCATTTACTTTCATTTGCTGGATTCATGGAGTAACCAACAACACTCCTACAGACGCATATAATTCATGATAAATATGGGATGAAAACATCTAGTTCTACTCGAGTTTGATTCTGAATCAGAGACCGAGAATTGTGTCCAGACGGCTCCTGAATCTGATACAATGTTGTCCAATAAAATCATTTTCTAATACTTTCTCAAATAAATAATAATAATATTATTATTATCACAATTATCACAACGATTTTCAAACTTGAATGAACATATGAATCATCCTTTTCACTGAAATCAAACCACCATAACTTGGCCATCGAACTGAGAATGCTTTGGCCCATTCAATCACTCATGATATCACTTCCATCAGAATTATGTGCTGAATCAATCACATCCCCGAGCCCATCGCTTTCCTCATCGATCTCCATCGTCTCATCGTACTCTTCCTCTTCATCACTATCATTATCCTCATAGATTACCACTGGAGAAGAGCTCTCTTCAGCTTCAGGAATCTGAAATGAGAAATTGATCAAAACCATGGTGATCCAGAGAACATTTTTTAGGAAGGTGTGTTTCCATTATTAAATACATACCAGCATCCCTATGAATGAAAAGGCGTATTTTAATTTTTAGAAGTTAAAATGATGATATAGTTTATGTAATATGAGTGATTTTGGTGGTATAATTGTAAATAGAAAAGTTTAGGTGTTAGATATGTAAATTCATAGGAATTTAGTGATATTTATATAAATGTCACTTTTTTTAATTATCAAAAAAGTTAAATAAACTCACCTTAGCACAAAGACAATCCAAAGAAGCTGATAACTGAAGAGCAGTTTGGTATGTTGAAATCCTCGCATCGATAAGCTGGCCACAAGGCAATTAACTCTTGTAAAAACTCATAAAGAACAAAAATGTAGAAAATGATCAAGTGGCATTGTGTCAAAGCAAGAATGTGAGATAAACCAGGTGGAAGGCCATGTCATTATGTTGAACAAATAAAGGTAAAAATTTTACATCCGACTCTGAATATCCGGACAGCGGCCCGGATGCAGCGAGTAGGGGTGCCCTCCTCGCTGCATCCGAGCCGTTGTACTGACATCCAGAGTCCATATGTAAAATTTTCTCCAAATAAAGAGCCAGTTTTGCTGTACAATTTCAGAATGAGCCAGAAACTAGGACAAAAAAAGGCAAAAATGAAGATGGCGTTCATTTTCTAGAAGGGAAATTTACATACTACATACCACAATTTTTATGTATATATATATATATATATATATATGTGTGTGTGTGATATTTAATATTATATTTATAACACATTGGTGTCATAAGCTTATTGCACGGAAAGATGATGTCAAACATTTCAGTGGTATGTATGTAAATATGAATGTTTAGGTCTTAGGTATGTAAATACATATGAATTGTGTGGTATTTAAATGCCCCTTTCTAAAACATGGTGATTTACCTGAATTTTGAACTTAAAATGCAGTTCTAGTAGTAAAATGATTCAATCCTCAACTGCATTTTTGCTGGCAATGCTTTGCATATAAACAAGACTTTCTACATGGTCATATATTTGCATTATGCATTAAAAAAAGTTGGATGGAGCAAAAGAAAGGATCTTATATACCCAGTTCGTGCAAGGAGCCGATTTAAATGAATAGTTTAAAAATAGGATTTACATGAATACGACTCAATTCCTATGTATTTACATATCTAACACTTAAAGTTCAAATTTTACAAAAATACCACCACCTAAACTATACATGAAAAGATATATTTAGCTTTTTAAAAGTTAAAACGGTGATTCTTTTAATGTAAAATGAAAGATTTGGGTGGTATAAATGGAAAAAGCAAAATTTAAGTGCTAGATATGTAAATACATGGGAATTTAGACAAGCCCCCACTGACTACTATTTAGAAGTCATTATCAATCATCATCGAAAGAAAATTTTAACTAGTTTGCATTCAATAGTCCATTGTTGTGTGCCAGACCATGCTTGTGTATAATGATGGGTGTGGGAAGAACGAGTTTAACAAAAGACTTTGTTCCTGTTATGGAAAGTATTTACTCTAATAGGTGTATATTAAAAAGCTTGTATATTAAGAAAATTGATATTAGGAAACATAACTAGAGATCTAATTACAAGATCTTTTCTATATTAAAAATATTCCTAATATATAGAGAGATGAGTTTATATAAATATGCACCATATTCTTTCAATTGAATAACAAGTTTTTTCATTACATTGTATGAGAACATCCTTTCTATGGTTGGAATCATTAATCAACATCCTCTGTGTGGTATGAATGGTGTGTTGGATCAATGTGTCATCTCTGTCGTTGGAATCATTTGTCGGCGTCTGCGTTGTCTGAATCGCACATTTAGATCACTCGCCAGCATTCATCAAATCATTTGTAGTTAACATACAGACGAACAATTCAAACAAACCGTAAGCATTTTGTCGTCTCGGCATCGTCCCGCGGTCGAGTGTGGTCTTCCATCACGAGTCATTTCTCTTGTGATGTCGTTCTTCTCTTGCATTGACAGCAGGGTTCTTCGTTGGCATCGTTCTTACATGGCATCGTCTTCCTCTTTGCGGTCGGTGTTATTCTATGACGTCCTTCATCCCTGAGTTTAGGGTTTGAGCACTTGGTCCATTCTTATGTTGCTCGAGTTCTTCTACGAAACAACTTTATTCAAGATTGCCAAAAATTTCTCTAGTGTGACTCGATATCGTTCGTTGCTAGTGACTGACTTCAGGATTATGTAATTTAGTGCCTCTGTGCCTGTGAATATTTGGCACAAAAACATGTGACAAGCGTGTTATTTTCAGTAACTAAAATTATTAATGAAAAACTAAACGAAATCAATTATTTTTATTGGAATAAAATTGAGAAAACCTACTTCAGAAGTATTTCCAAGAAGAGTCACCCCACTGACAATCCACTAGCTCACAGATTCGAATTATTCTAAGTGAATGAGAGTTGATGCCCAACTTTTGATCAAATATGAAACTCCATCGAACATGATCAATATGGTCATGTTACTCATTATGACTGCGTAAAAATGCGATAGATGAATTAATATTTATGTTTTTTAGGAGATAATACATATCGAGTCTTTGATAAATGCAAGAAGTTCTATCACGTTAAACAAGATCACTCACTTAACACATATCATATGCACTTTAAACGCGTTTATGAATAATTAAGTGATTATTGTTCTTCAATACTGATGTATAAATTCAGCAGAGTCAAAGAAAACAAATGACTTATGTGTTTTCTAATTAGCCTCAACTTTCAGTACGAATGTGTCAAACAAAACAACCTATCTAACATTGAAGTTACTACTCTGAGAAATGCATATACCAGAGTATTGTGTACTATTCCAAGCTCTCAAGCTTCATCTTTACAACCACTTAGGCTCTTACTAGCCAAAAAAATACAGACATCAGTAAACCTCAATCTCAAATCAATTATAGAAGTAAAACTCCAAATTCTGGGTAGTTTGATACTACTATCATGAACCTGGTCATATGAAAAAATGGTGTTAGAAGTTACTTTAAAAGAATCAAAAGAGTTCTAGATCTTAGTCAACTCATATGATTACTACTAACGAACTCTTCCAAAGCCACTCTTGAATTTTGCATATGAATATGCTAAACTAATCCAATTTCATGATGCATCCAAGAAATCTCGTTAGATCACTGCTCTTGTTGAGTTAGGTAACAATAATACATGTTTTTTTTTCTCTTATTCTACATAATGAGTTCTAATACCATATATCACATGCAAGGTAATCTCAAAACTTTTTTCCATCTTTCATAAACATCATTTTTCTATCACCATAGACGACGAATATACCTCTAATGTTCTTAGTTCTAGCACCATTAACGTTACACATATACTACCTTTAACATTTGTCTCTGTTAGCAAGATTACACGTGTTCTTAATTGTTGTATTTTATTATTCAATGATTATTAGTTTTGTTAGGATCTTATGACGAAGAAGATTATTAGTAAAGGCCGAGAATCATGAAGATTATATATTTTGAAAAACAAAATATCTCGACTCATAGCCAGTTCCAACACCTTATCTCTGTTATAGATTAATTGTCAATTAGGACATCCATCAATGTCAATAAAAAAGTTAACACCATCAATTTCAGCAATTATAATATTTAGATTGAGTCGTGTCAATTCACTAAACAACACCCTTTGTCTTATGTTATCAGAACTGATAAAAGAGTTGGTCATAATTTTGAGTTGACTCATTCTAATTATAGGGACTTTGTTCTATTTTATCTAGTAGATATCGATATTTTGTCACTTTTGTGTATGATTTTTCGTGTATGACTTTGCTTTACTTTATGAATTCTCGTTCTAAATTACCGTTACATTTTCAATAATTTTATATTAAAATTAAATCTCAATGTTTCTGTTAAGATTCTGAGAAGTGATAATACCAAAAAATATTTTTTTACACCTTTCAGACATACAAGACAAAAAATGAGATGTTTGACAATCGTCATATGTCGATATTTCATCCCAAAATGAGTAGTTAAAAGAAAAAAATATATATAATCTTGAAATACTTAGAGCTCTTTTGTATTAGACTAATATACCCAAACTGTTCTGGGTTAATGCAATTTTTATTGCATATTTTTTTATCAACCGAATGTTTTTTACTATTTAATAGAACAAAATACCCAACCAAATTTTATTTTCAACGAGCTCTCTATTTCCCTGATCCTAGTTCGACATTGGTATCTTCTTTTTTAGTGGATCCATCTCCTAGTGACGTTGAGTTACATATTACTCTTCAAAGAGGTAAATGTCATTGATATATCCCATCACCTCCTGTTAACTGTGATCAACTATCATCTACTTCTTGCTCATTTATTGTTTCATTTGACTCTGTTGAAGTCCAAAGATCTGTTAAGCAAACCCTATTCCATTTTGGGTGGTGAGCAATGCTTGATGAAATGAATGTCTTAATGAAAATGGAACTTGAGAACTAATTGAATTACCCTATAGCAAGAAGATTGTTGGTTGTAAATGGGTCATTGCAGTTGCATTTATTTTAATGAATTTGTAGTTCATCTCAAAGCTCGGTTGGTTGCTAAGGGATATGCTTAAATTTATGGGATTGACTATTTGAACACGTTCTCTTCGGTAGCTAAGTTGACTTCGGTTCGACACGTCCTGCCCTTCGCTGCAATGAATAATGTCTTGCAATATGGTGATCTTTTAGAAAAGGTATATGAAGCAACTTCCTGAATCGGTTCTCAAGAGGAGTCTGGAAAAGCATTTTGTCTTCAGAAGCCACTATATAGATTGAAGCAAAGCCCCTCAGTATGGTTTGAAAGATTTAGTCAAGCAATGAAGAGCTTGGAATGTAAAAAAAACATAGAAGTGACTACATTGTATTCTACAAGAAATCTACTTCTGCGATCATTTTGTAGGTGGTGTATATTGATGATATTATTATTAGTGAAAGCGATGTATATAAAATCTTATCATTGAAATCATCTCTATAAAAAAAACTTAGCACTAAAGATCTAGGTGCCTTGAAGTATTTCTTGGAATTGAGGAATCAAAGAGAAAGAAAGGTATATTCTATCTCAACAGAAGTAAGTTTTGGATATGTTAGCATAAACAAGAAAACTAGGAGTCAAATCATGTCATACTCAAATGATTCCCAATCATCAACCTACCAAGAACAGAGTTCAATGATCATGAACAATATAGAAAGTTTGGCCCTGACATTACGTATTCAATTACTATAAGTCAGTTCATGTCTTCCCTCCTAGTTAATCATCGGTTAACTCTGTAATAGATACTATGTTACCTTAAAGGAGCTC